ATCCTAAGTCTGGGGGCTTAGGTCAGTCGTTCTAGGGCTGTATGTCTTAGAGTCTGCTTACCACCATAGTGAAAGTGCTTCTGTATTACAGGCTTTTTCTTAGATTTATGTATGATAAGCTTTGGGACATTTTAGGAACATACAATAGAATATTTTTGGAAATAATAGGTTTAATCACTGTGGCCTTAAGGCATAAGATTGTTCAATTTGTAGTTGAAAGCATACTTCCGTGCTCCAGTAATCCTAAGAAGAGGTCATGGAAAATTGTAGTAGGATGTTTAGGTATTATACAGTTTTTTCAGAAAGTAGTAAACATCTCCACACATAAATCTTAGAAGCTTAGATAATTTTCCTAGGGTAGATTCCTAGGTCTGAGTCACAGTTGTGAATATTTTCATTGCTTTTGCACACATGGCCAGCTGTCTGCAGAAAGGCTGTGTCAGTTGTGCCTTCTCTCCGTGCCTCGGTGCCTGGCTCGCTGCCTCCTCATCAGCTGTGGGCATTTTCATTTTCTCTTTACTTTCCTATGAGCTCTAAGATGGCAAGTTCCCAGAGAGTAGGTACATTTCATCGCCGCTCATTCATGGGCAGACTCCAGGCGACCATGTGAGGAACAGAACTGGCCCAGGTGCTCTCCACTCCCTACATGGAGCTCAGGCTGAGCTGTGGAAGTCGGCTGCGCACTGCCTCCAGCAAGTGCTCGGACGGAGACACAGGATTCCCCCTCGTGGTGGTGGATCAGCTTTGCAGGTCTCAGGTTAGCTGCTCTGAGGGACAACAGCAGCTCTGCAGGGAGCCCCAGATCTCCCTGGTGAATTTCACTAGAGCAGCGCAGCCCAGAGCGTCATAGACTTAGCAGAACTTAGCCCAGAACCAATCCTTGGCCTCAGTGATTACTGTCATCAGCTGCTTGCATTTGTCATGATGTAGCTCACTTTCCCCAGCATGTGTTTGTGTGTGTGTGTGTGTGTGATGTAAACACACATACAAAGAAGCTTTTGTCTTTTCTTACAATCAAAGCTGCTGAATTTGCCCTTCGGTTTGCTTTCACCTATTTACTTTACAAAGTCTTTCTCAGAGCAGGCAGGATTCTGTGTCCAATGGATGGATGGCATACAGGAGCCACTGCTGCAGAGATGGAAGCTTCCTCCCTTGACCTGGGAGAGGAAAACAGAATTTCCTTGGTGCTGGGAGCTTAGGATACAGTGAAACCCTTACCTGGCAGGCGGTAGAGCATTTTCACAGCTTCGTGCCATTTGCGAGCCTGTGCGGTACCCTGGGCCAGAGTGAGCTCCCACGCTAACTCCAGTGGCAGTCATGGGTGGTGTGTCCAGGATTTCCTGTCCTCCAGTGTGTCTGTGTGTTGGCTGTACTGTGGCTTGGATGTGTCTTTCTATTTGTGTCCCCGGATGATAACCCTGTCTTGCCAGTGATATGTGACGCGTCATCCTTTCATCCTAGGGACACAGCACCTCACAGCTTCCTAGTGTGAAGGGACTGCAGCCCTTTATATAGGTGTGGAAATGGGAGGTCTTCTGAGAGTGGGCTGGCCTGGTGAGTTGGAGGTTTCTTTAAACCTAGGGAAGGGTTTCTTTATCAAATCGCTCTGCCTTCCTTAAACACAGCAATATCTATGCCAGTGTTTTTGCATCCACATAACAATGCTTAAAAGTAACCCTAGCATCGTGGTAGACTGAGGCATGAGTGTTGCAAATTTGAACCCAGTCTGGAAAACTTAGCAAGGCCTCGACTCAAAAAATTCTTTTCTTTTTAAAAACTGGGGATATAGCTCATTGCAAAGGCCCAAAGGTCTTGGGTTCAATACCCAGTTATGAAAAAAATAAATCCACTCTGTAGATCTGTTTGATTTTTGCAGAGATTCATCCTGTAGAGATCTCCTAGGTGACTCAGGCTCAGAGAACTCAGGACAAAGGTGTGAAGAATCTGCCATCAGATTTGGAAGTGCTGTATGCTCACAGTCTTCTCACAGAGCTCAGACCTTTCCTTTTGGTCATGAGCAGAAATTGTGCTAAGTTTTCGCTCATGGACTAGAGTAAGGGTGGTCAGTCAAGGAGCTGAGCTCTGCCAGTGATAGTGCCACCCCTCTCTTCAGAAGTCCTCCTTACAGTGGGCGTGTACGAAGTCATCCTGGGAGTTTCTTCTCCTCTCTCTGATGTAAAGGATCTAAGTGGGAGCAGGCATAGCACACTTGTCCTGTAATAGAGCTTGCTTTCAAACTTACAGACAGGGCCGGGGATTTAGCTCAGTGGTTCCACTGCCTGCCTCTCCCTGAGTTTGATCCCTGGTACCAAAAACACAAAACTCAAACCTATGGATAAGGACACGGTCACAGCACTGATCCTGAGTTAATTTACATTTGAAGGTCTAAGTTCTGAAGAAATGAAGGTGAAAAACCCTTTCTATACCTTATGTTTATTATTCTTTTATAACTTTTAGTTGAGCTTAGAATCAGAACAACCTACAATCAACCACAAATATTTTCAGTTGACTTGGACCTGTCTGTTATCATACCCTGCTAACCACCTTAGTTCTTTGGTATTCACAATGTATCCTGCATGAGAATCGCAGCAGGCCAGAAACTAAACCAACTGCCCAAACACTATGAGTGATGCCACTGCAGACTACGAGGAAAAGCTTTAGGGTTATTGTGAGGGCACCAAAACACTGTTAGTTGGAACATAACTTATTGCCAACACAATAATGATATGATCTGAAAAATTATTTTATATGAATAAGTTTTCAGAATCATTGCTGAATTTTTGGCCAAGATACCAATTGTATTCAAATATTGAGTTACATCTCCATTACACAATATTATTTCAGCCAGCAAACCCAAAGACCATTTGCCGTATCAGGATAATAAATGGAGTAAAAGACACAAAATTGCCCAATTGAGAGTTTCTAGTCCTTCTGCATAGCTTTGCTGTTTGTGAATGTAGCACACATCTAACTTCCTGACTGAATAAGCTACGTGAGGAATTGAAATCATGAACATGAAATGTTCATTCAAGATGTAATATATTTATTACATCTTTATTTTTTCAGGACACATTTAAGAATATAAGAAAGTTAGCTTTATTTTCCATTCACTTAATTTCACATTTCCTTTACGAGAAACTCTAGGCTTAAATGAAGCATAAACCAAATACATTTTTTGGCCAAATAATTTTTTAAAATGTGGTCAATAATGATTTTTTAATTGATATTTTGTTGTTTATTTAGAGAACGTAAGGTACTAGGAAAACTTCACTATGGAACTTCATAATTGAAGCCTCCTTTAAAATACACTATTTTATATGAAGTATCTTTGTCCTCCTTAGGTGTGTTTTTCCTCCTTGGGGACAATGTTACCAAACAGTGGTAACTTTACAGCTGCTTTGATTAATGAGGGCTTGGACTGGGGATTCTTTGGGCAGGATTAACTGTGTTTGAAGATGGCACAATGCCATTATAACCTTAATGCCAGGATTTAATTAGAACCAGAAGTTAACTTCAAGGACTTTTAGAGCTTCATATGAAGGGATGATCATGTTCCCGCTATTTTAAGGTAGTGTCCTACATAAAATATGTTATTCTTGTTTCTTGTGATCATAATTTCTGCTCAGCAGCCGTTGGTTGACAGGCAGGCAGCCCTGAGCCACACCATGCTAGGGTCTTGAGCCCGAGAACCCTCCTGACCAGAGAGAAACAAGGAGGCTTCCCTGGACTCATCTCCAGGCCTCACTGAACCTCGGGTGACCCCAGCTTCCTAGACATGGGCCGCTTCATCTTGGCTGCTCTGGTTTTTCCACCGGCTTTTCTCCGTTGCTGGGTGGTAACGAGGTCTCAGAGCTCAAGGTTGGTCCAGGGAGAAGGTTGAGGAGCCAGGGTTAGAACCGAATGTTCTGTCTCTGGTGCTGATTGCTGTGGGGTCTAAGCTCTGGGGACTGCTTAGTGAGACTGGAAGGGTAGGAGAGGCAGGAGAACCTAAGGTGGGCTTCTGCTTTTGCTCCTGTTTGAGGAAGCTCCTGCTCTTGGTGCATGGTGGCAATGTACTTTCTGTGAATTGCCAGAGACCGTAAGGCCCTTTCTCTTTTACAAATTGCATGGTTCCTATGTGTTTAGAAATGGAAGAGGGCAAGGAACCAAAACACACGCCTTGTATTCCGAAGTCTGTTTCTCCCCATCTCCTGTACATGCTTGGGAAGAAATATTGACTATAAACCATGACCGCAAGACTGGCAAAGCAAAAAAAAGCAGCAACAGCAACAGAAAAACTGCATCCAAAAATGATGGGGGAAAACCTCAGCTATTTAGCTTGTGGTCCGGGCTTCCTAGTGGCCAAGGCAAAGAAGAGAAGTAGAGTAATTTAAGTGTGATGTTTTTTAGTACAAGCATTCTTGCTCTCCATTATTTAATAACATGAGGCACATAATGAATGCTGTCTGAATGAATTTTTATAAAGTCACAAAAGCACTGCAGAGATACCATTTCACACACTGGTGTTTGGAGAACAAGCGGGGAGAAATGTTAAAAGCAAGGAACCCGCCCTGTCTTCAGGCAGGGATTGGGGAGTTGAAACTTCTGGTATATTTACTGTAGATAGATGCTTATTTTCTTTTGACCCATGGCCATGTGGAGCTGTGGAAAGATGTAAAGCTGTCTAGAAAAGGGGTAGCATTGTTAAAGTGGGAGGGATAAATGGGATTTTTGTGGCAGGATGAGATTTGAAAGACTGCTCTGGCCGCTGGGAGGTTTTTAAATGTGCCAGTTCCCTGTAACAGGAAGATCAGTCTCTGCTTCGGACAGCATATCCAATTTAGGAAATTATTATTATTCTGTCAAAATTAATGTGAACAATTTTCTCTCCGAGGCTGCTTTTTTCCAGGTGATGTTTTCCAGATGGGCTCTGTGGAAACTCTCAGTGTTCTATGTTTTCGGGCCTGGAGAAGGCGCCTTTGCTGACATCTCTCCATATTTTGCTCTTTCCCCTGTTTCAGGGAAGAGAACGCCAAAGGCAAAGGAGAGGAAGAACAAGAAGAAGAAGAGGAGGCTCCTTGACAGGGCACAGGAGCAGCACAGCGCCTTTCTAGCCACGGACAGGGCAAACCAATAAGCCAGCTGGACGGTGGCTGGGTTTGTTTTCATTTTTGAAGAAGTGCACCAAGCTACTCTCCACTCCTGCACGCGGTGCGCAGCCTTGCGGCCCTGTCGGCCTTGTTCCCAGGGGCACCGTGAAAGCAGCAGCTCAGTGTGGCCTCGGGATTTATGCTTTGACTGAATCTGGAGCCGGGCAGGCTGGAGCGTGTGACTGCGTCCTTATCCAGGTGGGACCCCCTTAGTGTGAGTCCAGGTGCCCCTCCTGGCTCTGGGGACCGGCACAGTGTGTGGCTGCAGCCGCCCGGACACGCACTCGAGCCCGGTACGGGGCTGTGATGTGGGCAGAGTGGTGTTCACCCGGGGCCTTCGTTTCTCAGTGTGTGCGTCTGCAAGAAGACATGCGTGGGACCTGCTTCGAGTGTTCTTGGCTTGCTGACTTTCACACTGCCGCACGGTGAAGCTGCTGTGCACTGGGGACAGGCCGAAGAGCCCAGCTCCTCTCCATGCTGCGCTGTCTGTACATACTCCACGGCCACTCGGAAAGCTCACTTCCTGTGTATTTATGCTTTCTCATATGTAACAAGTCCTGCTTGAGTCGGGTCACTTTGTTCCTAGTGGTTCCTAACCGTTGTCTAGCAGATGACTGTTCTTAGTTTTACAGATTGACAGATGTTTTTGTTGCTTCTTGAAACTTCTTTTGTGGGGGTGGCCTTATTTCTCATGGTGAGGCCAGGAGAGCTCCTGTCTGCAGTAAGAGGACTGTGTCAGGTCCCACTGTCGAGAGACCATCCCTGCCCTGTGCTGTCCCGTGTTCAGAAGCAGCATGTGTGTGAGACGCCGGAAGCCAGACCTCCCTTGGAGTCTCAGAGGTGAAGATTTCACAAACTATAACCGAAAACGTGAGAAATTCAATGCAGTCACATGCAATATGTTTCTGACTGTGCTTTTTTTTTTCTTTTTTTAAATTTAAAGGAATTTCCAGCTTTTAGCTGTCAATCTTACTGGATGTCTGTAGACTTAGGGTCAGGGAACTATGCATAGAATCGAGGAGAAAACAAGATGAATTCCTACCACTGCTGGTTAGATCCTGACAGATCTCCATTGACCAGAATTTATCTCATATTTAAAAACAGAGAGGCATGATGGAAACTTGCCAGCTGATTCATAGAGCAATTGTTTCAAAACTGCCATCGTCCACTTGGGAACCTATTCTTAAGGGCTGTGAACTGGCTTCTGAAAACAGGACCTTCTTGGCTGATTCAGAGGAAGATCAGAACAACACCAAAGCCGCCAACAAAGTGGTCCTATTTTTCTTTTGTACCGGGTATCTAACTCAGGACCTTGTGCTTTTGAGGCAGACTAGGTGCCACTGAACTAAAAATCCCCCAGGCTGGTTGTAGATTTTTGAGGAAACAATGAAAATGACATCAGGCTTTTCCCCTCACCTTGCATTGGCAAAACTACCTCTTCAGTATTTTTGTTTAATGTCTGAGTCAAAGGCATCTTACCAGTATGTGTACATGTCCTGTGCATCATCGTGGAAACATCGCTGTGAGATTAGAAGCCGTGTATGGATGTTGATAGGGTTTGCCTTCAGTCCTAAAGTGCTCATCTCCTTTCATGTCTGCTTACCACAGGGGACGGGTCTCCTTTGTATAGAGCTTCACTGTTAGTAAGTCAGTGCCTGTTCTGTTTCTGAGATGCTCTTTTTGTGCATTAAAAACTTTCAAAATTATTTGTGGATTTTTTAAAACTTTAGATAAATATACACTGTGTGAAAATACATAATACTTCAATAACTCTAGCCTAAATAATGGTCCTTAAAAAGACAAAAGAAATCTTTAAAAACTTCTATTGGTGTATATATTTGTTTCCAGGACACTAATGAGTTGAGCTGTAAATTACAGTGGTTCACAGTGAAGATCTGAGAGCCAGGTGGCCCGAGTTGCAGTCTAGCCTCAGAGTGGCCTGGGGTAGATAGCTTCATCTCTCCAGGTTTGTTTCCTTGTCTACAAAAGGGAGATCCTACTATTACCTGTTTATAGGGCTTTGTTGCAGGAGTAAATTAAAACAGGTCCAGTCAGTCCTCCCTACCCGTGGGTTCTGCATTATTCAGCCAACCGTGGATTGAAAACGCTCGGAAAAAGTGCATTCATACTGCGCATGAGCACTGTCCTTGTTCCCTAAACGATCCATTGTAACAACTCCTCGGGTATCACTTGTACTGGGCTAGGCCATGGGAGCTTGAGAGGGCTGCTAGAAAAGCGAGGACAAGCTGGTCGCAGAGACTAGAGCACCTTCTGATGCTGCGGAGGCTTTTGAGCCAACCCCACGGGCAGACTGTGGGTGACTGAGGCCTGAACGGTAGACGTGGAAAGCGCTGGCTGCAGCGTGGTATGCGTTAAGTAGCGCACAGGTGCTACGTGGCTTTATCTCTCCACTGCGTATTTCTATTCTTCCCCAATACCGATTTCCCCTTGTCATCATGGGGTAAATTCATGAGAACATCAGCAGGCTTCAGTCTTGATTGATGCCTGGACATTGTTCACTAAAACTTTTCTCTCATGGAAGTTTATTTACATCTGCTTGATTTCTGGGCCGCCTTGTTCTATGAACATATACAGATACACCCAAAACTAGTTCACTGCTGTGTCAATGGGGATTCACTCAAGGAGATAAACCAGGCTAGGCATCTCAAATAGGGAATTTAGCACCAATCAGGAATTGACTGCAGGTGGGCAATGAGCCAAGGAAACAATAGGTCGCCAGGCCATTCAGGGCCCAGGGGTGCCCACTGCCTTCGCCCATAGTGTCTCTGGAGCCTGCCACACAGTAATTGTCAAACACTCTCATGCGTGTACCCTTAATGGCACAGAAAAGCTAATTTATAACTGGATTATAACCTGAAGCATCTTTATTGTGATTAAATTTTCATATGAAATTGCATCCAAATTTTTAATTATACTCAGTAAAATAGCTTTATATTTGTAGTATAGATTGAATGCAGAGCCTGTCCCCGCGAGGCAAGTTCCCTGTCTTTGAGCTGCGTCCACACTACCACTGGCTATTTTTTGTTTGCTTTAATTTAAAATTACTCCCCTTGCCTCCAGCATCCTCTAAAATCCTTGGCACGAGTGTCCGTCCCAGGAGGAGACTCCGTGTTTCTTGGGTCCTGGGTTTCACGCCTTTCTCTGGAGGGCAGCACACCCCTTTGCAAGCCCCGCGGGAACCTGTCGCGACGCATCGTGGTAACCGCTCCGTGTGTGTCCCCAGTAAGCCGAGGAAGGCTCATTCTACACGCTCGCTGGCGGCCTCACAACCGCCTCCTTGGGCTTACGCCCTCGCCAAGTGGTGGCTGTTTTCCTGCACTCGCTCCACTTGGTCTTGATTCCCCTCCACGCTGCCTTTTTTCTTGCTACTTCAGCTGTGACTCGGTCAATGCCTTTTTCTCTGTGTCTGTGCTGCAGAAGGAAGGTCAGCCACTGCCTCCTCAGGGCTTTGAGGAGCTCCTGGCCACGCCCCCAGCTGAACTCTGCTCTTGAGCATGATGCAGCCACCGCAGCAGGTTGACAAATGGCCGTGGGACTTGAAATGTGAATTTCATGGTTTTCATGTGTTGCGATGCATTATCCTTTTTGACTTTCCATCCATTTAAAGAGTAAGTTGGTGAGCTCCACCTGTGGAGAAGACCCGGCAGCCTGGGTCTGCCCTGCAGACTGGAGTGCGGCCCCAGAGTAGAAGAGAGTTGATTGGTGAACACACCGCCCCAGCCGGCAGCGCTGGCTCAGCCACACCCCAGCCCTCTGTGGGAGTCCAGAGAAGACACTCAGAAGACACCCCGCTGGCTACTCCAAGCATGGCATGGCGTCGGTTTTCCTGTTGCCATTCTTAATATTTTTCTCTACTTTTGGTTTGATCTCTTACTGACTTATTCTTATTTCAGGATGTTATGCTTATTTCAGGCCAAAACCTAGAGTGAAATATTAAAATAATGAAGAAGCACTATTTTCCCGCCCAAGCCAGGCCTCTCCTAACTTCTTCACTGTCACGAGTCACACGGCCTCTGGCAGCCCGGCCCCACTGTCTGATCAGAGAACTCCCTGCATAGTAGTATGTGTCATGATGTTCTCTCCTCAGTCACATGCATTAGTGCTGTGCACTCATTGTAAACACAGGCAAACAAATACTATCTTAACAATGATTACTTGAATAGTCTTATTGGCTTCTTCACTCTGCATCTGGAGTCTTAATTCCTCAACTGTGCCTCTCCTTGTCTTGGTGTATTTCTTTGTTAGAGTTTCTCTCCCTTTTCTGTCTTGGCCTATGAAGATGAAGTCCACATGGAATGGCACAGACGATGATTTCAGCACCCAGTCTCAGTCTCTGGCCGACTCAGTTGGGTGGAGAGATGACTTTTAGACTGGTGTTGGGCACCATGAGCGCCTCTTCATTGGAGACAGTAAAGTGTGGGACCTGACGAAGGCATCCCTGTTGTCAAGGTGGCGTCTCCAGGGAGGTGTCCTCTGACAGAGTCTGAAAACCTGGGGCAGAACAGCCCAGACCCTGGAAAGAGCCAGATGCTGAGGTACAAACAAGGTTGGGGCAATCGAAGTACAGCAGAGAAGTGCTGCAGCTCAGCCAGGATGACCTGGGAGTGGATGGATGTCAGGAAGGGCCATGAAAGTTATGCTGGATCTCAGGCCAAGTGCCAGGACTTGAAGCAGGAGAAGGATCCAGCTGATTCCTGTCCACTGTTCAGAAGGAAGGCAGATGGGGAAAGGGAAATAAGGGAAAAGGAAAAAATATGAGAAAATGTAAA